CGTGTTAGGGATAACGTAAGAGACCCTGTGGATTTTCCCTTTGCCATTATATAGTAATCTCATTCTGCTTAGTTTCCAAGTGTTAAGTAGCTCCCCCCCCCCCCCCCCCCCCCCCATTATTTGGTCAGTTGCCTGTCTTAACTTTAATTTGCTTTTTGTTCCTAGTGAGATTAAAATTGAGACCCCGCAACGTACAGTGCATCTGGGAGTTGGACGATTCAAATTAGAGGGGAAGGAACCGTATGCTTGGCGGCAAAATACGAGGTTCAGAAAATCGGTGCCTGCGGGCATTTGGGGCGACAATCACCAAGAACTGTCCACCGCGAAAAGCATTTGCTTCCTCCACCGGACGAAAAGAGAAACACTTTAGAGATGCCGCGCTTTGTTAGATCTGCGTGTCGGGTTCGTACACAAACGTCCCCATCATCCCAGTTGGCGAAACCACTTAGCGAAGCAGGGTCACCCCAAAATTTAGTTTCTTTTTATTATTCTCTCGAGCTCCAGACGGTTTCTGCAGCAGTTTTTGCTTTGCCCTTCCCGTATCAGGACTTCGGACTCCCTCACGAGTTGCGAGACGATTTGGCGGTCGTGTTTGCAATATTTTTGCACATAAATCTGAGAAGTAACTGTACTGACGTTACTCTTTACAGTTACGTTCGAGAAATGGTAACCCTGTTACAGTTACAAGTCATTTTCACTAAGCAGTAACGAGTTACAGTTACTGAAAGAAGTAACTAGTTTCTGGTGACGGGTTACTAGAAACTAGTTGCTGCCCAAGACTGGAAAGCCGCCCGAGTGCATAATAGGGTACCCGCTTGAACATAGCAGGCTGGCTCGCCAAGAACCAAATGGTGTGTCGAAAACCAGACACAGATCGAAATACAGGCGCAAATGCCGCGATTCTTTAATGTCTTCGACGACCACTTCAACACAGACTGCAGTGCGATCTCTCCCTTGAAAAAAACTGTCGCCTGCTAAGGCCTCCCCTTTCCTTGGGAGTTGGGATACTTTATTCATTCAGCTTGCTACATCCGTAGGCAGTGCCTCGTTCAAGAAAGGCTTTCGTCTCGCGCAGACCATCTCCTTGCCTCGCGCTTCGGCTCTCCCCACGGAAGCAATTACACGACCCTCGTGGTTACTCAAACCGCCAAAACAACAACAACAAAAAAACAAATGCTAGAAGAATCTTTTTAGGTTTTTTGGGAAACGTCATTGCTCAAAATATAAGCAAAACGAAGACGGCTGGGTGGGCGGACAAAAACAATGCGCTGCCGCGTTCCCCCGCATGGCCAAGCCGCGAGTGCCGTATGGGAGAGCCCCAGGAAAATGACCGAGGACGGGAAGATAAGAGGTCACCCCGACTGCTATGCAAACCGCAAGCGCCGGCTTTTTTTTTTTTTTTTTTTTTTTTAAAAAGGTGTTGCGTTGTTTGCGGTTTACTGACACTTCGCTTTACTTTGTAATTTCTTTTTGTAATTTCGCGGGTGAGGGTTTAACCGCGATTTGGTGAATAACCAGCCGTAACAAAAACAGCCACATGGAGCTGAGCAACAACGGGAACACGGAGGGAAGGGGGGAGGGGCAGGTGTGCTGGCATTGTTCAGTTGGTGTGGAGCCAAACGCACGGGGGCTCAGCATACTGTCCAGCATTCCTGGAAAATGTCAGTGGGTACTCAAGCCTCCGTTGCCCCCCGGTTCCGGGGTCCCTGCTTCATTTGTGCATTCCTAAGCAAGCTCCAGTGCCTGATACCACATGCTTGTTCATGTGCATATAGTGCATTAATTTAAATTTGCTTTTCTTAACGTTGCAGTTGTGCTTAAAATAAATTGATAATATTGTTGTTTTATTGATTTCATAACGCTTCTGTGATCTATTTCAAGCCAAAATAAAGACATTTTTAGCTACTTCACTGAGCCCCTGAGAATGCTACATGGGACGGCTGGGGTTGGGCTGGAGTGCAAAGACCACTGTGAAAACTTCACTGCCCAGCTACTCAGCTTCTTTATAGAAATGCGTATGCACTTCTACGCGAGACCCAATCGAAAGTCAGAGATGACGGAGAAGTTGGCAGTAGCAAATAAGAAAGTCTGGCTCCTGTGATTGTCAACTACAGGTATTTTTAGTCTTGGTATTTTGCATTCTGGGTGCTATTTTTTCGTGGAAAAAAAGAAATAAACATTGCACAGTGTTTATCTACAATTTTAGCCTTGCCAAAGATTTGTTGTTGCAACAAATAAGAGGCAAAAATGTTTTCTTGTGACAAATAAGTGAGGGCGTTTATCGAGAACTGGATACGGTGCTGAGAGTGCATGCTAGCTCCTAATTGTGGATGCTGGTCATAGACGAATATGAGAGACATCAGCTATGAGGTAGATAGCATTTTACTTTAATATTTCATGAGCAGAAAATCGCGCTCGGATGCTCGACCCAAAGCTAGGCACCAACGGTCCCATCCATTCCACATACCGTCTAAATATTGAAGAAATCGTAAGCGTGCATATTTACAATCATGTGGCCACAGCAAAATCTACTTGCAGAGCCAATTTCTGAAAAAGAAGTGCGCAAGGGCCATTGACGTGCCATCAACCACCTGATTTTGCAATGAAAAACCAGCGTCCCAAGCTTGCCCAAAGCTTGGCCAGCCTTGAGGATCGGACAGGCTGCGACGACGGCTAATGCGCAGCTTGTCAACTGAGCCGATCTAGTAACGTTTGGGTCAGAGAGAGTTGAATAATTGATGGTGCCTAGTTTTCCCAATCCGAGATTTGTAGACAGCTACCAAGTCTACCTCGGAAGGTCTAGGTTGCACCCTGGCAATCATGGGTGGAGAAGGGCGAGGAGTTGACAACTAGGAAGCGGCCTCCCTGAAAGACGGCAGAAGCTCGGGACGTTCCAGCACGTTGGTCATCAATGTACTGACATACTCTGCAAAGAGAAGATTTCAGTGGTATTGGTGACCATACCTCGGCAAACCTCACTCATGAGGGCCCTCACTCACCCTCACTCACCCTCATCTTCACAGGTGAGGTGAGGGTGAGTGACTTTCTGAACCAAGAAAATTCATGAGTGTGAGGGTGAGTGAGGGCCGTGAGGGCGGTGAGGGCCATAAGGGCGGTGAGGGCCGCGAAGGCGGTGGGGGCCGTGAGGGCCGTGAGGGCGGTGAGGGCTGTGAGGGCGGTGAGGGCCGTGAGGGCGGTGAGGGCGGTGAGGGCGGTGAGGGCGGTGAGGGCGGTGAGGGCGGTGAGGGCCGTGAGGGCCATGAGTGCGTGAGGGGCGTGAGGGCGGTGAGTGGCGTGAGGGTCATGAGTGCGTGAGTGGTGTGAGGGCGGTGAGTGCTTGAGGGGTGTGAGGGCCATGAGTGCGCGAGGGCAGTGAGTGGCATGAGAGGCGTGAGGGCCGTGAGGGCCGTGACGGCAGTGAGTGCGTGAGGCCTCCTTCAGATCGAGCATCTTTCTCAGCAATTTTGGTGTTTATGGCGGATTGTTCTCTAGCTTTCCCTAGATCGACACGAATTGCTGAGATTGGGTCCGGCTCGAAATAAGCAAGCAACTCGGAGCAATTCGAATACGTTTGAAGCGGCTGCATCCAATCAGGGACGCAAAATTTTCACGTGATACATCGTGCCGGTGATGATGACACCGAAAGACTTGGTTCTGGTTTGAAATCGATCGTTTTTTTTGGAAATAAACTGTTTCAGAAAGGTGCATTAGTATTCTTAACGAGGTTTAAATGCATCAAAACACGTTTATAACGCGTAATTATGTCTGAATAGTGCAAGAAAAATAAAATTTTTATGATGACGATGGCAAATTGCAGTAATTGGTTGCTGCGTGTGATCGCGGGCGGCCTGTGTTGCTGGTGTTGCGACGTAAAGTTTCTGGGCAAAATTGCCCCATCTGAAGCTGGCCTGAGTGGCGTGAGGGCCATCAGTGCGTGAGGGGCGTGAGGGGTGTGAGGGCCGCAAGGGCGGTGAGGGGCGTGAGTGCGGTGAGTGGCGTGAGGGCGGTGAGTGATGTGAGGGCGGTGAGTGGCGTGAGGGCCGTGAGGGGCGTGAGGGCTATGAGTGCGTGAGGGCCGTGAGGGCGGTGAGGACCGTGAGGACCGTGAGGGCGGTGAGGGCCGTGAGGGACGTGAGGGCCGTGAGGGGCGTGAGGGGCGTGAGGGCGGTGAGAGCGTGAGGGCAATGAGGTTCAGTGAGGGTGAGTGAAGGGCTGAAGGTGAGTGTGACTGTGAGGGTGAGTGAGGGGCTGAAGGTGAGTGTAGCTGTGAGGGTGAGGGTGAATGAGGGGCTTAGGTGAGTGTGGCTGTGAGGGTGAGGGTGAGTGAGGGCGACCTAAAATGCCGACCTCTGTTGGTGACACAATGAGTGAAAGCGAGATTCTGTGCACGTTTACCGAATTTCGTCCCTTCTCCCATTTGGAATGCCGTCAGGTGGTCCCTTCCTTGATGTCGAAGCTTTCACCTTATACCTGTCCTGGTTGTTCTTGATTGTGGTCAGCAGGTGTTCTGCATTTGCATTAAAATGGAGCACATCCAGTAAGGTTCTGGAAGATTTATAGACAGTCAGATCAGTGCTTAGATGAGCAATGTGGTGTAGCATACCGGGCACGCATCCAGTAGCACGTGATTATGACAGACTTCTGTGAGAATCCGATCAGCACACTGTGAAATGCCTCCAAGCTGTACATTTGAAAGGAAGGCAAAAGCTGCCTTATGTCTCGAAGCAGCAGTGGGGCGACTGGAACCTTCAGGAAAGCCTGATACGCTGTTGAGTCTTTCGTATATTCACCAAGAAAAGAAAAACGACATCTGTTAGTTGTCATCTCAGCTTCTGAACAGTTTCTAGAAAGAACCCACCTGCGTTGAGCCACGACTTGTGTAACAGTCCATGCACACATCTTGAGAGGGAGACCTCGTGCTCATCATGAATGCTGAATATGTGGCACACGATTGTCTTCCACGAATCAACCACCACTTGACCATTACCATTCCCAATCATCAGTACAAATCATTCGTCACTTTTTGTATCCTTTTTTTAGATCTTTGTTTTGAGGGCGGCGTTTGCTCGCTGCTTGTTTGTGATGCCTGTAATGGATGGACATATTGAAGAAACGCTATAAATTTTGTCTGTTTGGAACTAAGGAGTTGTATTCTTATGTGCCTTTTTATGCTTTCGAGCAAGGACAATAAGATATTATGCAAGAGGCAACATCCAGAATACAACAGGGTAGACTGAAACAATGAGAAATGTAATTAGAACTCCAAGTAGTATCTGACTGGTGAGCTTTTCCCTGCACGAGGGTAAAGTAAATGCCATGCTTGTAAGGCCCTACCAAATTTTTCTTTTTGAAAATAGTATTTCCCTGAATATTGGTAACTCTAACAGCCCCCCCTGCTTCTTTATCCAACCTGCTATGTAGAACATTTTTTTATACATTTTAAACTTGACAGGCACTTTTGGTTCACACTCAATTGCACATACAGGCTTTCCCCAAGAAGACACATCTTATGATATCAGTTTTACGAAGATACCATCCAGCCCTCAACTGCAACACCCCAATTATCCACATCTGATGTGCTAGCAACAAAGTTTATTATATACCAGCATCCACCAGTTTTATTTTCTGTGGTAGCTGCAGGTGTTCAGAGCTCTGCTATCTCATACCCTTTGCGAAGTGCCACACATTGAAGTAGTGGTTGACATCTGGGTGATTAGATGCCATCCCTTTCATGATGGACACATGCCGATCTGTGGTGAATGATAACACATCTATGTTGTTTACTTACAGGTAAGTGAAGCCTCTTGCGAAGCCAACCTTCTCCATGTGCGAGCTTGTCTGCACTGCGTCATTCTAGTAAAGAAAGCAAAAAAAGCAAAAGAGCTGAACACAAGTGGCAAGGACCTCTCCTAATGTGCACCCCAGTTGAAAACGAAACCAAAATAAATGACTGGTATCGCTTTGGTAGCACGAAATATGATATCAGCGGAAATATTACGTCGAAGTCAAGCCGCGTTCTCCACTAAAACTGATTTTAAAGATGCGACCAGCTGCTCTTTAGCAGGCAGCAAGCGGGTTAGCTTTTAGTCAAGGAACACTGGTGCAGCACCCTTGTGACAGCAAATCGCGGTGGAGCTGCAGTCGATTGGTTGTGCAGGTTGTACGGCATACTGCAGCACCTTTGTGACGTCACGTCGCAACTGGATGGATGGATGAATGATATTGGCTGTAACTGGCAATAGCTTGCGCCACCTAGCCTGAGAAAATGCTTTCCTCCCCCCCTTAAGTACCCAATTTTTTTCTCTCTACATCCCTGCAACTATCACCGGGCCGGAAGAATGAACCACCAGGCTGACCTTTGGGAGATCGGGCAAATACAAAATAAAAAGAAAAAAGGAAAACGCACCCCCGCCTTCTCTCTCTGGCGAGGGAGTCGCCAATCTTCCTCTGGTCAACCCTGTTGGGGCTCTTTCCAAAACCCAGACCCACTGAAACACAGGGTTGAGACTTTGGGCCGGAGTCACGCGGGAGGGAGTCCCAATTTTCCTCTGTCCCCCCTGTCTCCAGTTGTGCTAGTTGCTTTTACCAATTTCAGTTTTCCCTAGTCTCCTTCCACCAATGCTCTAACCTCCTTTTCCTTACCTCAAGCCTTTTATAATCCACCTTTCCATCTTCTCCACCCAAACCCAGGGCCTCCTCTACGTCTGTTCTCCCCTCAGGGAGGGCAGGTTTAAGCTTCTTGCACCTCAAAACCTGGCGTTCCATAGTTTCGCTCTCTATTCCACATGATGTTCCATTCCAGTTTCACTCTCCAATCGAACACTGATCAGTGTTGCCATTTTTCTAGCAGATAGTTTCGGTTTTGCTGTAGACGCCCGAAACCAAACTTTGAGCCGTGATATTTATAAAACTCCACGCAATATTGAAAAAGAAAATAAAAAAAATAATATACCTTGTAATGTAGGGACACCGCCTTAGCTGAAAACATTTGTAATCCCAAATTAAAATATATTGATCGTAGTTGCCCTTTTTTTAACCCATTTGTTACCGCATGCAGCGTGCACGGCTGGGCCCTCCGTACGACAAGCTATACCACCTAGAACTGAGCTACTCTTTGCACAAATCTTTTGCTTCTATAACATGCTTTTCAGCAAGCATAAATGAAAAGAAAACAAAATAAGGAAATGTGTTTATTACAACCTAGACCACTTGGCTCATTCCTCGTCTAGTGACTCTTCCGACGATGACGCGTTACAGTTATGAGTACTATCTTTCGGTAACTCTGACTTGCAAGTCCTTTCGAAGTCTATTTTCTTGTTGGCAGAATTCTCCAAAAAGTCGCTATCATCACGAGGCTTCCCATCGTCGTTGTTTTTAAAAAGGAATGTCTAGGTCTTTATGATTTCATCGTTGGGAAGACTATGCCGGCTGCTCGTCGCTGCAATCTCTTCTTGTAATAAACAACAAACCACCCAAAAAACACGCAGACTGTTGATATCAGAACAAAACGTAAGGGTGCAAGTAAGGTGGTGACATCAGTCGGTACACTACAAGTTTCTGTAAAATGCAACCTATTTAGGTTTAGAAAAACGGTGAGTCGATCGTATCAACTGCCCCATTACACAAGAATGCATCATTCGTAACATTTTGGTAGACAGCTATGTCTCATTAACATTGACACCTTGTTATATCAACATTTTCCGGGGACTGCTCTAAACCCACAAAGTTCTGTCCCATTAAAAGGTTTGGGAGCTGGGTTGATAGCTGCATTTTCGTCTCGTTATTGTAGACACTGGTTCTCTAAAAGCGTTCACAAAGGTCAGAAGACAAAAAGTACTAGTGAAAGCCCCAGCACACAGAGTATATCCACAGCTTTAGCATTGCCCATCTTGTCATGAAAGTGCGTAACACGGTAGGCTCGTTTTGGTTCCTTTTGGCACGATGCGCAGGCAGAGTGGAAGGATAGAGCAGGTGTCTCAATTACATGGGCTCGCAACGGAGCGAGCCTGGCGAAGGTGTGCTCGCATGTCCTTCACGCACCATGAGATGGCGCAGCAGTTCTCGGGTCCGTACGGGCTGGCAGCGTTGAAGGGCCATGCGGAAAAGTCCGCCGGCCCAGCTCGCAGACCGGGCTCGGACTTCAGAACTGCAATTTGAAAGGCACAGGCTGGGCTGGCCTTTGCATTTGTGCCTACAAGGCAGGCCTGGTATTGCATGAATGCCTTGCAAAACTGTTCAAAACAAGAGAAGCAAAAAAAGAAAAAAGAAAAAGGGTTGTGCTAAAAAGAGTTTTTTTTTTTTTTTTGCTTCTTTTTTCCCCTTTCTTTTTTTTTTTTTTTTTTTTAAAGATGGTGTGTTTACGGGCAGGAGGCTTTTAGAAGCGTGTGTATCGTCGAGCGACACAATGGTCATTTTTGTTGCTGGTGGTGCCGCCATTGTGTAGCAAAAGCTTCTTTCACAAGCACAAATGCACAAAGGCACACCTTCGGATGGAAACACTATCCGCGCACATGAGTGCGAGCGCATCTGCATTATGGGCAAAGAGATTCCACTTTATTGTCTTCAAGACCACTTTCTTTCAAAGCATGGTTCTCGTCAACCCCGACAAAACGGGCTTGAGCGAATTCGTAAAAATTAGCGTCGAGCGGGCAGTGTGCTAGATCGACCGTCGAAAATGGACAGCGGACTGCGGGCGGGGGGGGGGGGGGGGGGGGGGCAAAGTGACAGCGGGTCTGTCTGGACCGGGCTGTTTACTATTGGCATGTTCACACCCCTAGGCTGTGAGGAGCGTTTGTTGCACCGGAAGCATGGGTCGGGGGCCACAAAACTATCTTCTGTGCCGTGTTTTGCTGCCAAGATGAGCATATGTGCCGAGTTCCTTTCGGGATGATTCTTCGTTAGGTTTGGTAACAGGGAAGAAGTGTTTTGTACCCCGGTGCTCAACAGCAGTGTACAGGTTCTGCCACGAAAAGTTTTCGCTGTTTTTTGTGCCTAAAGATAGGAACGGCTGTTCCTATGCGACAAAATGCTATTCCAATCGGGTTGTGTCCTACATGTGTCGGACTAGGTCTGCGAGGCATTTGAAGCCTAATCTTGTTTCTAAAACCTGGACGATGGCATACAGTGTAAATGTCCCGATCAGGGTTTTTATGTTTGAAATAAATTATATAATAAGTACCACAAGTTATCTGTTCAAGATGTAGATATCGGGAATCAATAACCTATGGTCCACACTCTCATATTAGCCCTCTCAAGGGTTACCTACGAATTATACACCAGAATTACAAAATAAACAAAACGAATGCAAAAATAGATGCACAAAACCTACAATGCTTTGCATAATTTAAAGCAAAACTTGTGTCCGACTCTTGCAAAGGAGTGGGCAAAAAGCTATCGAGGTGCGCCCAGTTTTTCGGCAGCCGCCAGCACGGACAGGTATATTTGAAGTTTCCACATCACAAATTACCAGACGCTAATAATAGACTTCTTGCCACATGTGGTATTGCATAAAAAAGGCTCCAATATCTCGCCTTTGCACAAGAGTTGAGTGCAAGTGAACCACTGGTTTCGGTGAATAGTGCTTCTCATGTAGCACATTCAATTAAGGCAAAAGGAAAAAAAAAGTAATTTGGTTAATTGTGAGAAAGTTTTGAAATGGGCCCCCCAAAACAAAACCAAGCAATTATACTTGTGTAACATGCGCATTTGGGGTATGTTAATGTTGGAGCTCTGATACGCCAGCACGTATACGAAGCCCCTTGTGCCGAGAGAAGTGCGCAAAGAACTGCAACTGTCAATGCCACCTGCCGGGAGATGCGCAAAGCGCGAGCATAAGTTTGCTGCCGTGGAGCACTTCTTTCCGACAAACCGCGTCTATTCTTCCACCGTATGCACGGACATTGGTTACCGTAGCAACCTGTACCTGTAACTCGTTGCAAGCAGCTGTAACCGGTCGTATCACAGTCCGTTGTAACAAAATGAAAATTTGTGAACCTGCCTTTCTTAGCTGAAAGTTTTGGTTGTTACCGCTCACGCTTATCCATGCCATAAGCCATGCCATTGTAAATTGGATGCGGGACGGGTTTATAGAAACCTTCACTATTTCCAAAATTCCTCCTTGCTGGAATAGTGTTCCTTTATGCATGTTCACCACAACATTTTATTCCATGTGTACCTCTTTTTCTTAGAATGTGTCTAATAACTTAGTGTGTTCCATTTCTTGAGTTGTTTTCTGTTACTGTTGGTGACAGTGTTGAGTGTTTGTTTCTTTTTCCTAACTGTGGCAACTTGATCATTTTATTTTTTATCACTGCCTGGACTGCAGCATTGGTCCTATATGAACAAATACTTAAGAGTAGTGATAATTTAAACTTTCAGCTAACATGAAGGCTGATTTTCCTTACATTGGTATAGCACAGATTAAAGAATAAAACTGCTCACCTCACCAACTTGTACTTGCCCTGTGTGCACATTCTTGTTCAGGGTGTTGGAGTAAACGCTGTATGTGCCATACTTCGTGCTAAATCCGAGAGTCGCAACGTCCATCACCCGATGGGCCCCCTGTGCTTCTCATCTCTTCAAAGAGTCATTTCTGCTCGGCGTTCCAGACCTGCACGATATGAACCATGTAGTTAGGTATTTGTTTCTACAATATAAGTAACAAAATTTCACATTGAGAGCTTGTGACCGAGCACAACAGAAAGGAAGACAAACAGCAAGCGGTTGCATTAAAATGGCGAAGACGATGAGAACGGTACTGCCATGTCGACGTTCCCTGGTTACTCTGCAATCGGCTACACTACACCTAGTTCGTTCATTATCATGTACAAAGTGCCGAAATTACACAGGGACAATAAAAAAGGATTCGAAACTACACAAGGACAATACGAAATTTCCTACTGATTTATGTAAAAACCCAACCTCTTATATATTTATAGCAGAATATACAGTCACACCCACGTCCGGCGTAACATCTTTCGCAAAAAAACTGACTCTTTTGCTGATAATGACACAGATGTGTCACTAATACAATTCATACCCTTTTCTGTTATATCAAAGGCCTCGTGCAGCTCCCTAGATATCCGATCGGGATACGACGGTGTACAGGAGCAGTGGCTGCAACGTGAGGCAAAGTGTCCTGAGGGGGCTGTCCGTGTAGCCGCTGCATGTTCGCGCTTGCGATTAATAATATGTCTGCCCGTCTGGCCGACGTATGACGATCCGCATGACATGGGAATTTCATATACCAGTCCCGTGGCGCATCCTGTGAACCTGTTGCAGTGCTTCGTATCCCAAGGATTTGTGGACGCTCCGACGGTAGCCCGGTTTCTGCAGCCGACACAAACAACAGATAGGTAGCGTGGTTGCAGAAACCGTGTTACCGTCAGACCTGGTAAGGTTTTTCAACAGGTACGTATACACGAATAATCATAACATGGGAAGCAGAAACTACCAAACGAGCAGCAATAAAGAGAGGGCTAACATGGGAAGCAGAAACTACCGAACGAGCAGCAATAAAGAGAGGGCTTAGGCAGGGTTGCCTACTGTCACCCCTGCTCTTTATGATATACCCGAGTGGAATGGAAAAGTGATTAGAACAGAGCAATTTGGCCTTTGATGTGACTTATATGGAGGGAGGGAGAAAAGTAAAACAATTGATACCAGGACTTATGTATGCGGACAATATAGTACTCTTAGCAGATAGCCATGATATTATGCAACAGCTTATGGAAATATGCGGGAGGGAGGGTGACAGTCTGGGTCTAAATTTCAGTCGCGAGTAGTCTGGGGTAACGGTTTTTATTGGGGACAAAAGGGACTCCCTGAAAATACAAAACTTATATAATAGACTTTGTAGGCACATTTAAAATACTTGGGGGTTTGGATGAACGAGGGAAGGAAATACTTGGAAGAGCACGAGGGAATCACTAAAAAAGGGAGAAAAGAAACTCGGCAATTATGAAACAGAGAGCTGTGGACGTACAAGGTATGAAGAAGTGAATGGTATTTTGAAAGGAGTTATGGTACCGCTTCGGTAATGCGATACTGTGCATGAGATCTGAGGTGCAGTCAAGTTTAGAGATCCGACAGAGAAGCGTGGGCAGCGCGTGGGAGCACGGTACAGGGATATGGGCTTCATTTGAGGCTAGGGAAACTATCAGCAAACAAATTCGAACAAAGGCTGAACGAATGGAAAACTCCCGGTAGGCAGGGAAGGTGTACAAGTACTTATACATGAAGAGCTTGAACACAAAATGGACAAATCGAACACGAAAGCTAAAATTCAAATCAAATACCTACAGACTCAAGTGGCCAAGCAGAGCGTGGCAGGGGTGGCAGGGCAGGCAGGGCACCACTGTGGAAAGGGAAGTAAAGGAGACAGGAAGGAAAATGTGGGAGGAGAGGATGTAGCCTCGATATGCAGATCGCTTAAACGGGGGAAAAAGTAAAGAACAACTCTTATTTGATAACTCACTGGGGAGCTCTCTGCTATTTGAGCCTAGGACAGGGGTTTTTAATTGGCCAAATTTTCAGATACTGACATATGCTCTTCCGGAGGGATGAGGGCAGATTTGGCAGGAGCGCCGGAGCGCTGGGTTTTGTTGATGGGAGTGGGAGGATAGAAGAAAAAAAAATAATTACAACAAAGAAAAGTTTAGAAGTTTGGTGGAAAACATCCAGGGAAGTGTGATATTTCGCAAAATTGTGGGGTTAGAGCGGTTAGAGCACTGATCTCAATCAGGTGGGTTAAGGCGCATTCACACTGAGCAAAAAACGCGCGTTGCGGTCGACGTCGACGCCGGCGTCGTAAAATACGAAGCAGTCACACAGGACCACCCCACGGCGGCGTCGTCTCGGGGAATCTCACGTTTGTCGAGAGAACACGGAATTTATTTATTCGTCTGCTTCGCATGATTGTTGTTGCCTTGCCTTCGCGATTGCATATGCGGTGGGAGACAACCGTCTTCACTGAATGGACAGCGGTGATGATTATATATACGTTTACACTCCAGTTATATGCAGCATTGGCGAAAGGCACGGACTCGAACGGGCAGCTTCAGGTGCTCTTTTGCCGCGTTTTTGTGCAAACAAAGCACGGTGCTACGCCGGCGCGTCCCAGAGCCTTCGCGTCCGTACCTTTAACACTGCACGCAGCCTGTGCGAAAGTGTTTTCGATGGAGGACTGTTGTATTCCGTAGTGATGGGTGTACACAAAACTACACAACACATTGGGAGTGATCGCTCCCGCACAGTCGGAGGTCGGAACACACCGCGAACTTTGGTGGCAGCTTTCGCGGCAGCTTCGCGCAAACCGATGAAAAGTTGCTTCACGGCGTCCTACACGCACATAAAACACTGCTCACTGTCAGATGTTCCAATCGGCTTGCTTCTTTCCACGCTGAAATGCTTCCGGCCACGTTTGGCGGCGAGTGCACGAACGCACGAATCCCCCGAGCTCTCTGCCTTTTCGCCTTCATTGTGAGTCGAAAATAAAAAAAACAGCAAAAACATGTCCTAACCGGAAAAGGGCGTACGTCACGTCCGGACGCTCGCTGATTGGCTCAAGCGCGCGCGTCGAGGGAGAAATTGGGTTCCGAAGCGTCGTCTCCCTGCGTCGTCCTCCTCGGCGCGCGACTTTTTTCAATACAAAAATAAGCAAAAAATTCCCCCCACGACGCGCGTCTTTCCGCTGTGTGAATGCGCCTTTAGAGGTACGACCAAGTACGACCGTACGGCACTAGGGACTAGGACGCAAGAGGCCTGCGCCGTACGGATCGTACCTTTTAAGAAGAATATCTAGATATATAACTTGGCGAAATGTGCATTAATGAGAGACGAAATTTAATTCGAAAGTTTAAAAAGTTTAAAATGGGGATCTAAACTAGGCTAGATAGCGCTAGCTACCATCCAATATAAATGGTACAGTCAATATTTATCTATTCATCTACCCAAAAGGATTGGCGAGGAGGAAAAGAAAGAGGCGAGCGGTGTGTTGGCTTGGGAAAGCTGCGTGACTGACGTCATGCGGTCATGCCTCCCCGTCTCCCCGTCTCCCCGTGGCCAAAACATCAAAGCAACAAGGAGTCTTTCTCCTCATCTCTCATCCTCACATAGAGATCATACATCATCCTCATCAACGATGCCCATCATGTAACGTAGTTCCACACGTGCTTGCAGCAGGTATCTGGCGTGCCTGTCACACTTCCCCTGCCGTCATAGCGCGAAAGGATATGGCAATATATCCGGAAAGAGTGCTCGAGGCGTAGCGTGCGTACAGTTTCTCTTGCTTTGCGCAAAATGCGGAAAGCAGCTAATCTTGAGCCTTGAGGTGCAACGCTGGTGTAAGCGTTGTAAAGCGGAGGTGAAGGCTCGACGCTCGACTAGTTTGCCGGACTTGGTAGCCTTATGGTCGTGAGGAGTGCCGTAAAAATGTTCCTCTCGGTGAAGCACGAAAATGATACCTCTGTTGATGTGTGATCACCAGCACCGTCGCGAGAAAGCAAGACAGGGATAGGCCAGTTCGTGGTAAGTACTTGTGACTCCCGTGTCGCCTAGGGCAGAAAGAATTGCTGGATTTAAAAGCAAAGCGCGCTAGAGCGTTATAACTTGGCAGCGCGGTAACTTATCTAAATCTTCACATTCACCCATCCTGCAGAACAGCGCATGACATGACAGCATGGGACAGAACAAAACGGTCGAAAGGGCATGCGTCGAAGCAGGAAAACACGCACAGCTTTAGATAAGAACACGGCGACAGCGATCCGCACGCGTTCATGCAGAATTCACTTACTACATTAGAAGAATGTCTGCTGAATTCTTGTTGTACCTAACAAAGAACTAAGGATTTGTAAGCAGTGATAGAGTGCAGGCAAGCCGGTAATCAATCCAGATCTTGTAAACCCTGAGATGGGGAACGATAAAAAAAAAAAAACGGACGAACACAACAAAATCACAATCATTGTGTTGTGTTCGTCCGTTTTTTTTATCGTTCCCCATCTCAGGGTTTACAAGATGTCGAACCAATGCTATGGTAAAAAGGTCGAAGAAGAGCACGTCTTTTACCGCTAGTTTTCTATGCATTTTCTGAAGATTTTGGAAGTTCCATTCCACAAGTTGAACTGAGGGATCACTTGATAACCCCTGACTGTTAAGAACATATGCAATTCCACCAGTCGATAACTGCAGCATACCTGTGGATATGTGGCACCCTCTTGGAGCTAAGATTATCTAAACCAGCGGTGGGATCAGTGGTTGTACAGCACTTTCTCGTAGTGCACTCCTGAATAGGCAGGGCACTCTCCATGTTTTGCAAATAGTCTAGTGTCGCACCGTATTGGTGTATCTTTTGTTTTAATTTAAGCTTTCTTAATGCTTTAGTTAAGATATGTTTCTAAGAGTCGGTCCAATATGTCTCAATAGACGTGTGGTAATAGCTTGGCACCTGAAGTCTCGGTGTAAGGAATTCTAATATACCGTAGACCAGTGGTTCTCAACCATTAATATTTTGTGGACCCCTTGTGGATCGGCGGGGACGATGGAGGACCCTGTTCATAGTAAGGGGAGGGAAGGGGTAGGTTAATTATGACAATGATTTAATAAATAAGCACAACTAAGGGCTAGTTTGAAGTAGACTTCACGCATGGACATGCATTGGAGAAAATTCACCTGAAAATTGGAACATTTCTTCTGAATCTGAAAAAAGACACCTTTTCTTGCCGAGCTTGACTGATGAGAGAGGGCTTTGCAGACCCCTAGAATGCCTTCGCGAACCCCCATTTGAGAACCGCTGCCATAGAGAATTGAACATCCAGTCATGTAAAAACCAAGTTGTGCAGCATCATCAAAGAGCTAATTTGAGAATCACTGTGTTTATGTCAACACAACTTATAAGAATTTATTAACACATAAGGTTTTTCATTAGAGCCTTCTTTTTTTGCTGATCTTTTTTGGATGTTTTGCTGGATTGATGCATATTTGTTTGGCTGTTATAGTTCATCACATTTTCCTTGTCATGTTCTAATAGATGTCGATGTCATTGCATCACAAATACTAAGTAAAGGCATTAATGACATACTACATAAATATTTTACAAGTTTCCACGTGCAATGCTTCCTGGCATTACATTTTGGCACCAGATGGCTCTTTTCAAAGAGGTATGTTTACCTGACTCTGCCTGTCTACTATTTTAATGAATCATCACGGAAAGGCAAGAGACATGCACAGTAAAAAGCCAGGCACATCATACAACACTTCAAAAAGATGGCAGAATCCAAAAGAATTCAGCATGGTCACATTTGCTATCTTTCCAACATGTGGTACAACCCGCCTGACGTTTGTTATGTGTATGTATCATTTGCATAATAGAGAAGAGAGTTTTGCTAATGAGAAAAACTACACACTTCATACCATATTTGGTTTACTTAAGAACCTTTGTCTAGTTTTCTGTAGTGAGCTACCATTGATGTTTCCATCGAATTTTGTTCTTACAAATTCCATAAAATCCACGTTAAAAATATCCATAAATTAGTTGGGAACTTGTCTGTACAACCTAGGGCTTGAAAGTCAACTTTTTGCAAGTGTCATTCTTGTGAGCTTGACTAACGGTGCACAGTAACACAAGATCAACCGAATGACAAAAGAACATAGTCACTCGTCCTGGGCACTACATGAAAGATGGAACTTGCATAGTAATTGACTAAAATATGGCAGAAACTAAAAATTGCTCACCTGAAAAAAATGTTTAACTCTTGTGGATAGAACCAGCTGAACATACAGAGGAAGGCAAGGAAACTGAGAGAATTAGGTGGGTGTCTAGTTCTTTGTTTCTTTGCCTTTTTGTCTGTTTTCAGCTGATTACGTCCACAAACATGGCCCAGCTCGCTCAGCTAAAACCCGTCATTTATCAGTCTTGCCTGTGAAACTGCAACTTCCCATTTCCTCTTGTTCCCTTCCGTTACATAAGATATTGACCTTTTCTGTCTTTTTTCGTCCCATCTTTCTCCTTACCACTCTCTATTAAAACGAGTTGGCCTTCTTCTCGTACACACTGCGAAGTCTGACACTGACCCTAATATTACCTTTCCTCGGAGCTTTATGAAAATTAACTTCGACGGAAGCTGACTAGACGTTTGTTCTTCACCCGTCCAGTTGCCTTTGCCTTGGTCCAGCTGGCGTACGGCATGAGCCAGGCTAGCCATGGAGACGGACATGCAGGCGGCCCTAATTGCATCCTGCACCCTTCTGCTCCTGGTGGCCCTTGTGGGCATGTTCTGCTGCTTGTGCAGACGCACCGGAGCCACCGTTCCGACAGCGGTGCTCTCTGACACCATCTCGGGAGCCTTAACCAGGGCCCTCTTGTGAGCTAGCATTGTCTTGGTAGGACCCCAAGTCACGTTGAGCATGCGGCACCGTTTCCTCCTATGGCTTTTTTGGTGGCTCAGCAGCTGGTCTGACTTTGGTAGTGGTGCGGCTTCTTTCTTTGCCGTCTTTACCTATCACACTGGGTTGGTTCCCTATGCTTACGGCACTTCCTTGTCCACCTTTACCTATCTCGCTGGATCGGTTCCCCAAGCTTATAACACTTCCTTGGCCACCTTCACATATCTTGCTGGATTGGTTCCCCATGCTAACAATACTTTCTTTGCCATCTTGACTTAACAGTTTGGATCGCTTCTTCATGCTTAGGGAATGGCGTGTCACCTGGCGACAAACCACGGCTTCATTTCTTTCTCACTTGTGCCGTGTGCTTCCCTTCTGTGACTGCTTTTGTGTCTTGCGTCGCTGCACCTTTTGTCCATGTGAGCTCTCGAAGAACGCACCGCTGGCGTTACGTTTGTCTTGTTTTCACACTAAAAGTTTAAGCCTTAAGGGGCGACGGGCAAGCAGCCTGGCAGGAAACCCTTCCTCCTTCTCCTCCTGTCCATTCCTTCTTGCACCTATCCCTCCTTCTTTTTCAAAAGGATTGCACCTGGAAGCTACTTTTCAGAAAAAGACAAAGGGGATTCCTCCTCTCTGGTTGCGTGTCGGCCTTTAGGTCAGTCTGTCTCTTGGGAACAAAATAACCAATTAGAATAGACCAAACTGATTCTCTACAGGAGTGTGATTGATCAGGGAACAGCACCATATGCTTCCTTATAAGGCATTACCTTTTGCCGTCAGTATAAGTTGCCCCCAGAAATATTTTAAGGTTTTCTTTTCCTGACAAAAATGAACTATGCATTGCAGAACACTCACTCTCCTCCCAAACGTAGCGTGTGCAATTTGAACCAGATGTCAAAGTTTAAGGACTAACCGTTATCGTATGCAAATGTTATAAGTGATACATATTCAAAAATTTTCAGTGAGAAAATCGTGGCTAGGAGCTTTGAATACATGGAGCTGAATTGGACCAGTTACCAAAAATTTTCCCATTGAAAATTTCAGAAAAACTTTTGGATGAGGCAGCGGTTAGTTCTGAAACTTTTGCACCTGGTTCGGATCACTAGCACTACATTTGGGCTGAGAATGAGCGTTCGGCGATGCATATAGTTCATTTGTGCAGCAAAAAAAAACAAAAACAAAAAAGAACATTACATTTTTGGGGGAAATGCTATAGAGGGACCACCACCATAAGCACTTACGATTGTAAACTGATATTTTTTGGAGGCATACTGGGGTGTGTCTGCTGTCCAACCTCCCCTAACTGTCTTAAAGGGGCACTCAATTGCTTTCTGTAGATGCTTGTTTTTGATGGTATGTTGTTTGTTGGGCTTTTAGTCAATAGAAATAACCAGTTCTAGACAGCAAGGCAGCCTAGTGAACTCGCAGCCATAGAAATACACGGGCACTATTTTCTCTTGGTGGGAGCCATCCTCGCGTCCCCACCACTTCCATAGAATTTGACCAATGAAAATGGCTAATTGCGGAGAGATTCCGGACATTACCATTATTAGTCTTTATAAGTGCATTGTGCATTACATTTTGGCAGAAATGTCGGATCTTTGGGCTAGGAGACGTAATACAAAAATTATTGTTTTAAAACGCCGTCCGACAGCGCTTCCTGGTGTCTGCTGCAGGGTGCATGAAGAGGGGCATGTCACGATCTTTGATTAGATATTTAGTAGAGAAGTTGGCCACCCATTAGTGTAATTGCGAGTGTTCTTAGGATGCTTAGAGCCCATAGATTGAGTTATCACCAGAAATAGACAATCTCAAAATCCACTAGGTTAGCATGCAGTAACATACATTTGAGAAAAATTTCAAGCAGCACGTCTTGTCACCCTCTGTTGATGCCGTTTTTGTGACTCCTAACATTTGAGACGAAATCCCCCGAAGTACCTTAGAATGACAGCTAATATTTTGTCTGGAATATTTGGCTTCATCAGCAAAAAAGTGGCTACCATTTCAAGCTTCTCATAGTGTTTTTTTTTTTTTTCTTAGCTTCTTTCTCTACTACCTGCATGGTAGTAGCGTTTGGTTAAAACAGCTTGATTTAAAATCATGGGTCGGGCAGAGACGCAAACAAAATGAAACATTGTGTCTGCAGGTTTTCTCTTTTCATCTTCATTTTTGTTTCTGTCTTGCATTTTGCCATTTATCATGACATGCTATGTCACTAGTTTCATCTTTCCATGGAATCTTTATATCAAATTGAACATTTTTTCATAAAAGTTTTCTAACAAAGGTTTAAAACATCTGCGCTAAAATACCTTTGTTCCTACCACTGGCAAAAAAAAAAAAAAAAAAGTGCTTACCGTAAAATCTGCCCCAAATCCCGAAAGATAGCCCACCCCTATTTTTGGCTCAATTTGCTTTGTTTTTTTAAACACCGAAAGATAGCCCACTCCTTATAATGGTAGTGTTGGTATCCATGATGGCCTCCGCTTAAATGCGGCTAGTTCGGTATGGTGGAATATAAGCGAACGTTGCTGACTGGGAAGTACAGTTATCTTTGCTTTGTTGCCCCTCGCCACCATAATGAGCTTGGAAAAAACACAACCTAAAAATTGCAATTTTTTTAACTTTTCTTGATTGTACACCGAAAGTTAGCCGACTCAATATTTTCAGCCGATTTGCTCTTGATGTTAGGTGGGCTATCTGTCGGGATTTCATGGTACACAGTTTTTTTTTTATTACAAATGTTTTGTGTTCTTTTAGTCATCGAATTATCAAAGAAATTAGGCAAAGAAGGCTTCCTTTGATGTTCTGTATAAAGAAATATTGATTCTTAGACTGAGATATCACCGGCTTTCGACTGTTGAGACAATTTATGAACAAAGCTATTTTCCTTGTTTCACAAATTGCATGTTAGACAATTAAAATTGCTCTGGTATTAGAAACTTTTGAAGTCATTGCGATTTAAAAAGATATCTAGGCCATGTTAACCAGCTACCCTGTCCAAAGCACCCATAGACGGTTTTTCACCTCTACTGCTTGTCGGATTGGCATATTAGAGTCTTGTTGCATTCGTCATCGTAAAAACAGACCACGTGCCGATAAACAATATGTGGTGTCCACTGGCAACCATAGCCGAACCCTTTGGTGCTAATCACAAGCTAGTGGTGAACTTCTGCAATGCTTCCGCAACTCACGCTCCACAACATTAAAATTATCATTCTTTGCAGACAATAAGCGGGAGCTCATTCCAAGCCTGCGCTGTGAACAATGCGCTCAAGTGAAGTGCATGGCTGAATACCTCCGATACATCCAGAGTTGCTGCCTCTTTGATCCTATGGCATTCAGTATGTGGGACGACGTCAAGTGAGCTGCTCGTGACTTGTAAGTAAACTGCACTCTCCGCTTTGGGTTCAGCGGTTGCTTGGATGGCAGACCTTTTTCTGCCGTGCTCATGCTCATATTTGCGAGGTGCTCTGTGCTTGACATCCTCTCTGTCTTCCTCTTTCTTTGTCAGTCTCTTCCTCTTGACGCATTATGACGTAAAGCCGACTCCCTTCCCATGGAGGAGCTCTATCTTATCGTCTTCATCGGGGTTGCTGCTTTCATGATGCTCCTCCTGCTGGGTTGCTTGTGTTGCAACTTTGCGGAGGCGCCCAAGTATCTGGGCGACAGCGAGGGACACGGAGGTGCCGTGTACTTTGAGCCGAGCATCTTGATTGGTGCGGGACATGGGGGCCAGCTTGCTGTTGCCGCCGACTGCGATGTTGGTGGGGGTGACTTTGGGGATGGTGGTGGCGGTGGCTACGGTGGTGGTGACTGTGGTGCCTGTGGCGACTAGTGAGATGAACTCACTCTACCCTGGGTACTTTCTCCCGTCCTGTTGCCTGCTGCATGTGCCTGCTCTAACCGTGGTTTATGTTTTGCTGTTCTTTGGACACTTTTACTTGTCTTCGAAGCAGCCCCAGACATCAGTATGCTTGGTTAGGTTTGCCAGGAACGCCAACCAACAGCAACAGAGTTATATGACACTACCCAAAGTCGCAGCTGAGGTGCCTGCATCCTCTCGGAGCTTTATTGCGGAAAAGGGGACGCTTAACCGAGCTTTCGGTTGCGCGTCAAAAGATCCCCAGGTGGTTCGATGGTCCACTGGGGCGTGCCGATGCCCTTCGTTGGTTTGACACGTAAAACCCCCAAAGTCGACTTTGACATACTCAATGGTCGCCGACCGATCGTTTGGATTCGATCGGGATCACGCAGAACTCTGAATAAACAAGCAGTCCAAAAAAAGTGAATTCAGCCAAAAATACATCAGTATTGGCACTTTTTATGCTGGGTGTAAGGTTTTATATTTGTTGTGTTCCGCAACAAAAATAGAAATTTGTCCTTTGTCCCTCTCGTTCCCCTTCTCCAGGGATTATTTTCATCATTCTTGTCCAGCTCGCTTGCACCTTTGCATTTAATTGCATTCTAATTATAACCTTAAATTGCAAGCTTCACCCTTGTTGGTGTTAGACTGGTGGCAGCTGATAAAACCCGTTTGCTCTACTGATGTCTGACCCCTGGTTAGCTCAATTGGTAGAGCGCTCCACCTGTAATGGAGAGGTCCCGGGTTCGATACCCGGACCAGGCGGATTTTTTCGGTCGCGCACCAGTCACCTAGCTGTGTTTGGAGATTTGTGTTTGTCCTTTGTCCCTCTCGTTCCCCTTCTCCAGGGATTATTTTCATCATTCTTGTCCAGCTCGCTTGCACCTTTGCATTTAATTGCATTCTAATTAGAAATTTACCTAATTTGCGCCCCTCTTGAGTCATTTGGGGGACCATAGCATGCTCGGTTCCCCCGCTGTGCACGTTGTGGAACACAATGCCGGCGGTTTAGTTCACGCTGACTGCTAGAAAGTCCGAAAAATCTAGAAATGAGGCATACATTGTCCACATTTTCAGTCACTGCTATACATTAGCTCTATGGGGCGACTGATGGCTCCATAAATTGTCCAAATAATGGGGCATGTCTGAAATTTTGGCGTCCAAAAAATCGCTTGGTGACTGTATACCTGCATATTTGAAAACTCACTTCATTTGGAAAGTTGAAATGCCTAAATACGCTATAATGGCAGTTAGCCTACCTGATAGTGGCCTTAATTATAGCTGTAATGAATGTATTAATTTAATGCAGTCAGACTCCAAGTTTTGATCTGATGGTAAGGTGATTGTGTTACTTTCCTAGAATTTGGGCTTAAATCTGTACCGCACAAACATTCTTACGTTGCATGCTGCTCACACTACAAGCTACTTAGAATCTAGCATCTCTTTAGGCCTGATACAGGGCATGTGCAACAGCAGCACATTGTTTTCATTGTGGTGCAGGTACTTTAAACTTTAGTAAGGTGGCACATCATTTCACATTGCTGAATCTTGCACGTCAACATGGAGCCTTTGCTGTACAGGACTATGAACAATTAAAGCTAAACAATTGAAATTTATCAGCAGCCAATGCCCCGTTGAAGTCGGGATTTTTCTAGGAGGTGGCTGCCTTGTGATCTGGACTCCTGAGCCTATCAGCAATCACTGTTAATTGATAATGAGCATAACCGTTTTGTCTATGCCTGATGTTACTGGCATTACTGGCTGATGTTACTGGCTGAGAAACCAAATAAAACATGTTATGGCTTATATATAATCAAAATAGTATATAAATTTTACAACTCCATAGTGACACCTATAAGTACTCTATATTTTTAGTAAAGCGTTAATGACAAGGAATGGATTTTGAGAGAGTGGCAATAATAACTGTGGAACTAGGGTTTTATTAAAAAAATCTTTCTGTATATTTTTTTAACCTGCATTTTTTGCTGTAGTGTGTTCCTACTTTGTTTACTTTTTGTATAACTTTGTACGGACGACCAATGTTCTGCTTCATTGTGTCGCATATGTACAAAATCTAGAGGCTGCTGGCAAATTCTATTCAGCTGTAAAAAAAAAAAAAGTAACAAGCCAGGGGATGCAGTACAATGAAATTTATCACACTCAAAATTCTTGAGTGTAGGTGTGTGGAAATAAAATGCAAGAGAAGTAATACATGTTACTTCACAGGAAGAAAACCAAGAAGAAAAAAACAAGTTGGGGCTGCTGCTCACAGATTGCACCACACGGAATGAAAACTTGAAAGCTTTGAGACGAATACCGATTGCAGGTCCAGAAGATCCATGTATGTAGTAGTGCCATTTGTGAATAGCAACATAATTCAAGCAGTTTCTTTTTGTTTTTTTTCTTTGTGCATAGAAATAAGATGTTTATCCTTTGCATTTTTTTCTAGAAACCTACACTTCTGAAATTAAAGTGACGAAGTGTGACAAATGCACCACCTGAAGGCTCCTTTGTGAAAGCTTTAATGCAATTTGTTCATTCCCTTATTTATACAATCATTACGACTCTGTAGTGCTCACATATACCTCGTAGTAGTGAAATATGTTCTACTCCTGTTAAAGGGGTACTCCGGCGTTTTTTGAGCTACCTCAACTAACTCTATTTTCTGACTCCCCGGCCTTTACCCTTTCCGGTATGCTATTTCATATTGCGAAATTCATAATAGTTAATGCGCAATCGGCAAATGAAAATGGTGCCAAAACCAACATTCAAATATACCCACACTTTTCAGTGCCGTGACGTCGGTGGAAGGTAAGCTTGCCAGTCGAGCGAGCAGTCTAAATAATAGAATATGCCAGTCATTCGTTCCGTGCTGGAGCGCGGGGACTGGAGCGAGCTTCGAAAGCATTCATTTGACACCATGAAACTGCTTCGAATCAGTTGGGAACAAATTCTACAGTCCAAAGAGTGAACCCCTACACTTCCACTGACGTCACTTTTTCGTTGTTGCCAGTAGAGACTTTCACTTTGAAAAACACGGTGAGGACCAAAATTGTAAATTCAATAACTTTGTGAAAAAAATTTATTTTGACCTAATATTTGGGATACTATTTTGGCGATGTTGTTTGGCGAGTTTAGCAAAATTTCAAGCAAATCGGGGACCATGAAGAAATCGCCGGAGTACCCCTTTAAAGGGCTACTCCACCGATTTTTTCATTGTCTCCGATTTGCTTGAAATTCTGCTAAACTAACCAACAAACATCGCGAAAATAGTATCCCAAATATTAGGTCAAAATATTGTTTTTTCGCAAAGTTATTGAATTTACAGTTTTGGTCCTCACCGTGTTTTTCAAGCTCGAAGTCTCTACTGGCAACAGTGAAAAAGTGACATCAGTGGAAGGCAGGGGTTCACTCTTTGGGCTGTAGATTTTGTTTTAAACTGATTCAAAGCAGTTTCATGGTGTCAAATGAATGCTTGGGAAGCTCGCTGCAGTACCCGCGCTCCAGCACGGAGCAAATGATCGGCATATTCTATTTTTTGGCTGCTTGCTCGACTGGCAAGCCTGCCTGCCACTGACGTCACGGCCCTGAAAAGCGCGCGTATATTTGAATGTTGGTTTTTGCATCATTTTCATTTGTCGATTTTGCAATAACTATTATGAATTTCGCGATTCTGAATAGCATACCGGAGAGAGTAAAGGCCGGGGAGTCAGAAAATATAGTTAGTTGAGGTAGCTCAAAAAATCGGTGGAGTACCCCTTTAAGGGAAGACATGGGCCTAAATTTCAAATTTTTGTGAAAAAACTCATTTTTCAATTTTGAGGTTTTTGGTTTTAGAAATCAATCATACACCCTTACACTAAATTTGAGAATCATACTCCCAATAGTTATGTTGATATAAAATATTTTCAACATCTTGAGAGGCAGTAACAGAGTAAAGGAGTTCAATCTTTGAATGCATTTTTCCCAGTTCCACTTTTTGCTGTAAATTTCATACAGAGGAATCTTTTGTACGAAGGTAAAAGTATTCTGATACCACAATCAACATGTTTCTGAACTGAAATTTACTGGGGAATCGGGCTATCTACTTTATTTTGTTTTAAGGTGAAGTCCTCATTGAGAAAAAATTAAGTTTTCAAAAATTGACATAGGACAGATATGCATCTCATATTTTGAGGTAATAACTCTTCCTGAAATATTTACATGTGAGTTATTAAAACTAGATTTCCCAAAGTCCCATATCCCCCACTTTATATTCAGGCAGTCGAAATGGTGTTTAATAGCTTTATTTGTATATCATAGATTTCTTAATGAAGAGTGACACGTCAACTTATGCAGGTATGTAAATTTGTCCTAGAGAGCTGAAAGTTTGCACAGTACACCTACGTCTGAAGTTTAATTTCCCCTGCAAATTTCATTCCGATCACTTGAGTAGTCCAGAAGTTCCACCTCTAGCCATTGTCCCCCCTTAAGTATTTATAAGTAGGATATATAATTATCATGACAATCATATTTACCTAACTCGGGGCAGTCGAGACGCTGCAGAAAGACAAAGACGCCTGCAGCCATGTGCTCGTGGCATTGCATCAGTAGGATACTTGGTGGTACTGCAGTTGCAACTTTATTTACGCCACCAACCTTGTGTGCCACGATAGGACCAATACATCCATACAATATTTTGGTGCCGTGCATGACAATTCGGTGCTGCTTTTGTTTCAGATAACCGTCTTGGCCGGCATCCGCAGTTCCACCACCACGAGCTACAAAGTTGAAAGCATCATCGGGTATGTGATTGCGGCACTTTTCTGCTGCAATAATCTGCGTCGTCTGTATTTGCATCTGCATGAAGAAACCTGCCGATGACGGCGGCACGCAAAAGTGCGGCTGTAACAAACTTCGCCATCCGGGCTCCGCTTGTTCTGACCATGACGCTGCCGGTGACTGTACGTTAGGTGGTGAAGGCCATTGCGAAGTTGGGGATAGTGATGGCGGCAGTTTTCGCGACAAGTGGGGTGGTAACACCGGTGGTGGTGGTGACTATAGTGGAGGGGGTGGCAGCAGAAGGGGTGAAGGCTGGGTTTGGTTACCCTCTTTTAGGTTTCTGCAAAAGATTTGCTCATAAAGGTACAGAACACGGACAGCACATCTTGTGCTGTCCGTGCTTTGTCCTTTATGTGTAATTCTTTTGTAATTTTTTAGTCCAGACCAATGCACTCGCCTCAATACAGTGTACTCTAGCTTTGTTACGCTTTTGCCATTGGGTGATGGGAGAATCGCCTCGGGAAAATTCGCAGTGAAATTTGGCCTTGCCAAGCAGTTTTCTGTTGAAGTTGTGGACCAAAAACATTTGACTATCTTTATGCGAACAGGCTGTATAGAGCAGGGGTCTCAAGCACGCGGCCCGCAACATCCCACATCTGCTAATCCCCATTCCAATGTCCCGAGCGCTGCCGCAGCATGCACCATATTGGGCTCTTGTCGTCGATTAATTTTTGCTGGAAACGTAGCTCTGCTCTGTTGTGTTCAGAATATTTGCACTATTTTGTTTACAAATGTTCACAACTTTTGCTTTATTTTGCACTATGTTTCGTCTTAATAATTGCTTCCAAGCCCCTTCTCATCTTTATCGCAGAAAGTCTAAACTGCTTTGCCATTGCTGGTTTCTTCTTTTTTTTTCTTTTTTCCCCAAAACACGTTTTTTCCTTTCCTCACTGGTTGGCCCTTATGGGGGGTGGGTTATCTGGCCCCCATACTGGAATGAGTTTGAGACCCCTGGTATGGAGTGCTTTAGCAAAGTGACTGCTACGCTAATGATTTTGAGAGACATTGACCGCTGGCATATATTCTTTGAAACAAGGCACATTTATTTTAAAGAGGAAATTGTCTCAATTCTCAGCATTAAAACATTATCATTGTGCATGCATTTTTTTTTATTGTTTGTACGTTCTGGCCAATGAATCAAACAAATTTCTCTAACGAATTTGCGTCATATACATCACATTTTGGGGACATTAGAAACTCTGGAGTGTCTGAACCGTCATTAGTTTTTTATTCAGATGTTTACTGCAGAACATCGTAAACTTCCCACCATTGGATATTTGCAAAAAAAATATGGGGGTCAGTGCCTGTTAGAGCTGAAGTGACGGATGCTTTATACCTACATTCTAGCCAGTTTTGAAGTCTACAAAAATGGGATGTGTGCTCTCACAGCATGGATGCATACTAATTGATCCAAAACTAATGCATTGTAACCCATTAACATATACTTAGGATATGCTATGTTGAGTAGAATTCTTAACGTCTGTTAAGGGCTAACAGTGAGCGACTAACTTCCTGACAGCTACACCACTTGTTTTTTAAGGAATTACTTGTCAACTTAGGATTGATACCAAGCTAAACGAAGTTGTGTTTTGCCACTTCATGGTGACATTGCTTCATGAATGGCAGCTTGGACAGCTTTGGCAGGAGTTTATCTTGTGGTTAGTGCTAATCCGTGTTGCTACCTCTAACAGACATGACATGACTCACATTTTGCATATGTTGTTTGCAACTATTTATATAAAATACAGCACTGAAATCATCTTCCCACTAAACATAGTACAGGATATGAAAAGTTGCCATAGGCAGAGAAGAAGAACACCTTTGGAGAGTTTCATATATTTGGATCTTCTTGACGAGAAGTAACTCCTTTTATTGTTTGTTGAAAATATCAGCATGCAAATCTTTCATCTCAATATTATTGAGCACTTTTTTCTTGTGGGAGTTTATGCAACCTCCCCTTCATGTTGAGAATATCTTGTACTAGAGTCCCTCTGCGTTTGCCTAACTTACCGTAGAATACTGCGCATCCGCCTATTCCACATTAAGTGCCCATTACTAAATTTGTAAGATCTGAAAAAATATGCACAGTACATTTATATGTAAAATTGAAGACCAGACAAGCGCCCATCCCCCATTTTTTTGCGATTATCTCCAAAGTTTTAGTGGGCGCTTGCCCGGTATTTTATGGTAAGTGCCTTGCTTAGCACACTTTTTCAGTCTTTTCTACATCTGTGCTGTTTTTGTTACTTGACTTAATTGCTCATTCAAAGTTATAGGGGCAGAAACATATTTTGTGAAACGTACTCTACAGAAGCATACCATGAAGTTAAGAGAGTTCGCCCATCCCATTTTGCTGGCTGAATATATGCAACATAAAAATTTTACAACATCGCCCATCCTCGATTCCCGTCGGACGTCATGCTGCCGCGCAATTTGCTGTACTGACACATCTGACAAGCGAGTTCATAGCGGGTTCTCATGTTCGTGTCCGCCATCTGCGCGCACAATATCAGGTCCCGTAACACGCGAGTTGTTCCCGCGTGTATGTTGCACCGTGAAATTCGAATCTGCTGTATCTGCCATCTGCAGTGTCCATTCTCGTGACATAGTTTGTTGCAGATTTCTGCTTTCCGTGTTTTTCTCTGCAATTGGCACGCGCGATACTGGTCTTTGTGGCAGGCAAGTTTGTAGCAGGTTTCCACCTGTCTATTGCACCAAAAAAAACTTGAATCTGCCGCCTCCGCAATTTGCGGTGTTAGTTCCCTTGAGATCCGAGTTCTCAGCGGATTTCTGCGGATCGTTCACACCTTGAAACACGAATCTGCTGCGTCCGCAACCTGCGGTATCCTTGCCCATGACACGAGTTCATAGCAAATTCCCACGTGCTTTTCGCATCGTGTAATGCGAATTTGCTGTGTCCGAGATATGCGGTTTCAGTTCCCGCGTCACGTGGTTTGTAGCCGGTGCCAGGGTGTTTATCATTAATTTTTGATAAAGCTTCGCTGTGGTATCCCCAAAGATAGCCCACCCCATGTTTTTCACCATTTATCTCTCCATTTTGGGTGGGCATTCTTTCGGAACTTTGCGGTAGTTGTACATAAAAATCCTACAGATTAGGTTGACTTCATAACCCTTAGAATGCAAAATTTTTTCTGAATGGTAGTGTGAGCACACACTATGATTCAATTTTCACATTATGCTCATCACTGCTTGAGCTACAGGCCCTGAAGGGTTCTGTAGATTGAATACTGACAGACAGTCTCAAACCCCACTACACAAACAAATAATTATCAGCATAAACTCGTAAAGAAGGAAACTGAAGTCATAACCCATATCAAGTTCAAACCAGGCACAGGAAAGCAGCAGCAAGTGCTTATGGTGACACAAACCTAATGCTGGCACAAGGTCAACTTGAGTGAAACAAAACTGCAAATTCACAAAGAATATAGTCGAAAAATATGAAACACAGTACATAAAACAGAAATGATGCCATTACCCACCCGAAGGTGAACTAGATATCGCAATTTTCAGGGTGTGACTCGTGTTTTGAGGCTTTTGAAGATTAGTGAGCTGTTGTCGATGGATTGGTAGAACGTCATAGAGATGTCATGCAATCTGTGGAAATACATGTGGTAATTAATCTGTTTATGATTTTCATCATACCCATGTTCCGTTTGTCTTGGAAGAAAAACCGTCCTGTCCCAATCGCGGTGTTTACGCTGGTGTTGATAGAAAGTGCCACTTTTTGGCTTGTTTTTCTCTCCTCTTTTTGTCGTCCTCTTTTTTTCTTAGTCTCTTTCTCTTGACACACTCTCACATAAGGCTAACACTCTTTGCACTGCCCTATGCTGTCATCCTCATTGGGGTTGCTGCTTTGTTGACACTCCCTCTTGTGGGTTGCTTGCACTGCAATGTTGCGGAGGCTGGGGACAAGAAGTGACACGGATGTGCTGTGTGCTTTGAGCCGAGCTTCTTAATCAGAGTGGTACACGGGGGCCAACTCGTCGCTACAGACTGCAATGCCACGGTGACAGCTGCAGAGATGGCAACGGTGGCACTTGCAGTGCTGGTGATCGCTGAGAAGATGAGCTCTCCATCAAGGGTACTTGCCCTGTCCTGCTTCGTTAAGAAATGCCTTGCTTGCTACTTGCTGCATGTGCTTGCTTCAACCATGACTTGTCTGTAATATTACCTCTTTCAAAAGGTACAAGGGGCATTTAAAACATTCTGCACGCTGCTTTTGCATAGCCAGATGGATGATGGATCCGCTCTAATTGCTGCTCCTGTTAGGAGCCAGACTCCAGTCTAGAATGGTGTGTACATTTGCTGCTAGATTACAGGTTCCTGTTGTGAGAAAATCGACCTTGAAGTGGGAGAAGATTAGGACGGTCAGATTCCATGCAGTGACCTGCATTCCCACATTAAAATTTAAACCTTGCGATAAAAAGCCCTTATCAAAATTCATAATGCTTCGCTTGGAAACATTGTGTCCGAGAGGACCATTGTAATACAGGATACGACTAAAGGTTTCTGCAAGTCGTTTTGCGCCAAAAGATATGCCAAAGAAGGCCCGATATGCCAGCAGCTGACGTCTTCATTTTGCATGACGTGAGGCTGCATGTGGCCCATGCAGTCAAGAAGCCACATATCAGTTTTTTTTATATGTGGTTGGTCATGTTAATTCGTTAGACCAAGGCAACATCAATTGAAATGTGCACTTTCATTATTGCAACTTTCATTACTACAAACATTTCATGAGCTGCCTGAAGTTTGCTTTTGTTGCTGAGGAACTGTTTTCTCCAGGTGACTAAAATCCTCACTCTGGTTTTAATTTTTTTTTTTTTTCTGATATTGAACACACACCTATATTCCATTGCAACTCAGGAAGGTAGGGCGAGGGAAAGGAAGGGTGTGGAGGAGGAAGTAGACAGAATGCCGAAGAGAGGAGGAAATTCCCCCTCTCCCCTCCAGCGTTCCGTCTGTTTCCTCCTTCCTTCCCTCACCCTACCTTCTTGAATTGCAATGGACTAAAATAATTTAGTTTTTCTTTTTCATTGCAGACTGAGTTATGCTAGTAAGCATAATGAGTCTTGCTTACTCTTTCTAGTATAAGTAGTTTGTTTATAACGTCAAAAACATGAAACAGGCTTTTTTGAAAACCTTACCTTTGTTTATAAACATGTTTTGCACTTTCACAGGCACTCAGAAATGAATCCACTGCTCCAAAAACCTGCAGTGATTTATAGTCATGCAAATTTTTGTTTCGTATCTGCATTTTTTTTTAATTTTCCTAGTCATTTTTTTTTGCTTGTTTATGTAATATGAACTGACATCTCTGCATTTATTTTTGTTTTGCATGGGCAAAGTATATTTGTGGAATGAATTTCACTCCTGTATTTGTCCTGATTTGGAGTTTGGTTTTTGGGAACATGAAATAAATAGGGGTCCTGATTTAACTTAGAAAGGTTCATATGCTGCTAGAATGCAACAGACCCAGAACTGTTGGCCTGCAATATAGTATGAGTTTCTTTGCGGCACTGCAATTGCATGACCGCACACAGCAGCTACAATTTTCTTCTATGAGTGACACCTACACTCGTATGTGCAACACATATTTATGCTAGTCTTTTTTTTTCTTCAGATAATCGTTTTGGCTGCATTCACTTTTCTGGCACCATGGGTGGCTACGAAAGTGTAAGCATCTTCGTCTACGTGCTGGGCGGAGTGGTTGCTGCAATATTTGTCGTCATATGCCTTTGCATCTGCAAAACCCAATGTTGTGCAAACAGCAGCACAAAGAAACGTGGCTACAAGAAGCGTTCCCGTCCGGATTTCTTCGGCTATCACCACGACCCTTCTTTTGGCTGGACGACGGACATTGAAGGCGGTTATGGGAGCAGCCATTCTGATGGCAGCTTTCACGACACTGTTGGCAATGGTGGCGGAGATTGTGACAGCGGTGGAGTTGGTGACAGTGGTGGAGGGGGTTGTGACAGTGGCGGAGGGGGTTGCGACAGTGGCGGAGGGGGTTGTGACAGTGGGGGAGGGGGTTGTGACAGTGGGGGAGGTGGCTGTGACAGCGGCGGAGGTGGCTGTGACAGCGGCGGAGGCTGCGACTGATTACTTGGCTTTTTCCTGTTTTGATGCATACCTGACATTGTTTGGCAAAGTTTGACCACTTTGCGGCTGCAGAACTTTTCTCAGGGAAAATCAAGCGAAGTTTGCTGTTGCCTCACAGTTGACATATTTTAGGTCATTGCTGGATCATAGACCAATATAAGAATTTCTGGTAGGACCAGGGCACTGTGCTGCAGTATTAAAAAAAAAATGCTCCTACTTTGATTCTATTTATTTGTAGTTACTGGTGAAGTGTACATAAAAGAAGAATACAGCAGATTTCATTTAAAAAGAGAATTATCTCGATCATCTTCAGCATTTGTGGTGGCAACTTATATTTATATTTCTAGCAGCCACATTGGTCAAGCCAACAAAAGTACCGAGTTCAAAGTGTAAACCCTGCATTCTGTCCAGTGGTTGAACTGAGATCAGTTTTTTTCTATTCTGGGGCCTTCATAAAACACTGTTTGATAGGCCATTGAAGTATGCCTAGGAGAGGCCATTTCCAGTAGAAATGGTTGTTAGCTACAGTGGATAACGATTGCCAAATAACTTCCTAACAGATAATCAATTAACCGATAAGCATTTCTTAAAATAATTCCAACTCTATTATTGCTGCTGGACAAAACCAAGCAATATGATAGGGTTGCGTGGGGAAATAGAACTTTCTTGATGGTGTTTTAAAGTGCGTAAAGTGTCTTTTCAAACTAAATACCCACGCCACTATATCGGCATCGCTAGCAAGCATGAAATTAAAAGTCTGCCAAGGGGGGGGGGGGGGGGGGGAGTAGAGTAGAGAACGGTAACTTCAAAAATAATGTATCCCTCCTGAAAAAAAAAAAAAAAAAGTTTTTTTGTTTTATTTTATTTATCATTTTTTATAGGAATACTTATTTATGGGTCAGATTTTTTTTTTTTTTTTTTTTTTGTGGTACATTTTTATATCTGCTGAAGGGGCCTTTTTGAGTGCACTTTCCAGGCTGTGCCACTTTGCTGCCTTGTTTGAACTTGTTGAGTTATATCTTACTATAGGTAAATACTTTGAAGACATATACTCAACATGAACATACGGGTACGAAATATTTCAAAATGTCTAGCTTGACTTCTGACAGCAAAATCATGGTTTATGAAAGCAGCTGGAATGTTTCTTGGCTCTGACGTCACTCCGCTGCGGTGGCGCTGCTGTCTGCATGGCACATGCGCAGACGCTTCACACGAATCTCGTTTCTGCGCATGGAGAGTGGCCACGCCTGGAGAGGGCATTCGGGGATTTGTTGTTCGCAAGCAACGTGTGAGTGTATGCTACTTGCCCGTGCTTGATTTACACGCTTCATATTTGTTTCTGCAATCTGTCAGCCAGAATTTCCAGACAGTTTGTCTTTTTTAGACAAAATATGGTCCAAGTCTTGCGTTGGTGTTGCACCGTGAAATGCTCATTTAAATCTGCTATTCCAATTTTTTCTCTCTTACGTTTCGTATGTATTTAAACTGACGTGATTGTTCTCTCTTGTGTACCTTAGGCATTTGTCTCCTGCTCATCGCTGGCTCCCTAATTGTCTCGGGTTTTAGCTTGGTGATTGTGTTCTCGTCTTCGTTGTTGAGCCATCTTAACTAAATGGACACCTACTACAAAGCTTGTAACAAGTGCAGTGATGTACACGTAATTGACGGAGTTTGTCTCGTGACAAAGAACCGAAACCATATTTCTGAAATGGCAACGATGCGTAACTTGACGTCATTCGTGGTGTCAGTTACTTTGAATATGCGTGCAGCACTGGAACAAATCATTTTCAAACTCTGCAGTTCCACTCAAAGTGTGAATATTTTTATAGTGTTCAACGTATATTTGTAATAAAAATCACCCTCTACAATGACTTTGGCTCTGTTTCTCTGGTCGAGCTCTGAGTCTGTCGCTTGAAAGGTCAAGCATGCTTTTTCCTTTGCTCTGGTTTCTCACAATTCTGAGAGCGGACGCATATTTCTAAAGGTCATTCACGAAATTTGAGACAGCACCGCAGCAGTGCATTAAAAGGCAACTCCACTCAAAAAGTCGACCCTATAGAACTGGCCGATATCACTTAGGGGGATCAAAATACAGTCGTACCCAAATTAACACGTCAAATCGACGCCGCATTCCCGATTACAACCAATATTAAAAATGTTCTACCAGCTGGGTTAGCGGCCCGACAGCAGGTGAGCAAAACTGGCACCGGGTGAGCTAGTGAAGCAACACTGGGCAATGACGTAGGTTTCGTCTTATGCTCGTACGGATGCTGTGCACACTTCGTTTCCCGTGGCATTTTGCGATTCCACTGATGGCAAGAGGTGCTTACTGCGTTATCCTGTGTTCTATTTCTATTTGTGTCCTGGTATTTTATTTAACAGCTACCGCGACCGTGCAGAAGAGAGCAAAGCGGTGCTGCTCGCTCATGCGCGTGTCGTGGAGCCGGACTCTCATTGGGCAATGCCAAGCATGAATTGTAGTGCTGTGGGTTGCATCACCAAATCCGGTGCGCAACCTGGAGCTGCGGTTCCACCAATGCCCAAGAGACTGGAAGAGTCACAAGGTGTAAGTCGGTGCCGTTTGCCGGATAGACTTCGAAAGACAGTTGACTCCGAGCTCCAACGTGAAGCTCTGCTCCCAGCAATTTATGCCAGACAGCTATACGCGGTATCTGCGGCTGCTGACTGCTGCGAGTTTCTCACGAAACACTCGTCTTTGAAGAACGATGCAGTGTTGTCGCTGTTCGCATACTGTCTGCCAACTGCTCCAGCACGAGCGGCCCATTCAGATAAAGGCACCTTAGCTTTAACAGTGGATACCATCTGTCCATCTGTCTCCCATTATTTCTTTTCTCTTGGTCTGCGAGCAAGAAACAAATACAGTCACTCTGTGCCGGCACTGACCGCATCATTTATAGCAGTCGAATTTGCTCTTTGGCCGGCAAGTTTATAAATACTAACATTTACTACATTTGGTGCATATTTATGAAGCGCAGGGGCAAAAAGATTCAGAGGACACCTAGGCAGTTCTTATGAGTTGCGAACGCGAAAGCATGAAAAGTGAACTCAGGATGGATTTAGCTATGTTGCCTTGTTTCAATGGCTACTCTGCCATTGAAACATATTTGTGGAACGAGGCGCGAAGTATCGCCGCTGTGTTTACTGCGGAAACAACTGAGCGCTTTATGTTTTTTTAGAGGGGTTCTTGAGTTTTCTGAAGTAGGGCAAAAAGATTGTTGCCAGCAATAAGGAAAATATTTAATGTAAACGACTTTATTTAAGCGGGTTAAATATTTTGCAAATTTTGGCAATTGTGGATTTTTTAACTTTTTGTGATATAGAGTGGTATGCCACGGAATCTGCTACAGGGTAGTATACATTCGCGTGATCTATTTTTCGCGGTATTTTGCGAATGGTGAAATATGTTTCAAAGCCTAAAAACATAACGTATATAAAAAAAAAAATGCAGAAAGCGGTATTTTGCAAAGCTAACCTATAGGCCTAAGAAGGAGAAATAAATCTTGTGCGAAACATCATTTATGCCTACCTCTAGTTCTTTAAATACTTGACATAGGAAACGGCGTGTAAACAAAAAAACAGCAAGTGTTCCCTCGGCAAGACTATTTTTTGAGTTTAAATAAAATATGCTTGTAATGATTGCAGCCAAAATGTTGCACATGTTTAACAATGAAGATTTATTGCTCCTGCAATTTCCCTTACACGATCCACAGCAACCGCCTCATTACTACGTCCACACGCTTCGTGGCATCCTAGGGATATACTATTTGCTTTTACTACAAGGGGCACTAATTTTCCTCAAGTACCTTGTTATTTCATCGTGTTCAGTAAAAAAAGTCTAGTTATTCCTACTTGCTCGACACACAAGCCCCTTACTATCACTATGCCATCCATCCACGCGATCTTGCGTGTGGCTGCTGAGTTAGCAATAATTTAATTGACAATCTTACCTACATATAAGAATTATATGCGTATGGCGAAAGGATGGATCAGATCGAGCAACGTCGTGGCGTTGTGGAGCAGGTTACCGCCCCTGGTGCCATTGATCCTAAAGCACTAATGACAAGCAATGAATTTTGAGAGAGTGGTAATGATAATTGCGGCGTTATGTTTTTATTGAGAAGGTCTTTCTGAACAATTTTTTTTATTTGAATGTTTGCACCTCTGTTGTGTTGTGTCCCTACCTTGTTTCCTTTTTGTATAACTTTGTACGGACGACTAATGTTCTGCTTCATTGTGTCGTGCGTGTACAAAATCTAGAGGTTGTTTGCAAATTCTATTCAGTTGTAAAAAAAAAAATTGAATAAATCAGAGGACGCAGTACAATGAAATTTATCATACTCAAAATCCTTAAGTGTAGGTATGTGAAAAAAAAATGGAAGAAAAGAAAAACATGTTACTTCGCAGGGGAAAAAAAAACAAAAAACAAACAAACATAAGTTGTGGCTGCTGCTTACAGATTGCACCACACGGAACGGAAACTTGAAAGCTTCTTTAAAGTGAATACCCAATGCAGGTCCAGAAGATCCATGTATGTAGTAGTACCATCTGTGAATAGCAACGTAATAGAAGCAGTTTATTTCTGTTTTTCTCTATGTGCATGAAAATATCATGTTTATCCTTTGCATTTTTTTTTTCTAGAAACCTACATTTAGGAAATTAAAGTGACGAAGTGTGGCAAATGCACCACCTAAAGGCACCTCCGTGAAAAGCTTTAATGCAATTTGTTCATTCCCTTATGTATACAATCATTACGACTCACTAGTTCTTACCTACACCCTGCAGGTGTAAAATATGTTTTACTCCTGTTAAGTATTTATAAGTAGGATATGTAACTATGATGACAATTATATTTACCTAACTCGGGGTAGTCAAGATGCTGCAGAAATACAGGAGGCCTGCAGCCATGTGCTCTTGGCATTGCATGGGTAGGATACTTGGTGGTACTGCAGTTGCAACTTTATTTGTGCCACCAACCTCGT